ACTTCAGAGGTCAATCACAAGTAGTGGGCCCTCAGGGTCACACTTCTGTCTGACTTGGCTATAAATTGGGGTTCCCCCACCTTGTCCTCAGGTTTGATAATTTGCTATAATGACTCACGGAACACACGGAAACATATTTACTGGTATGTTATAAAGGATATAATGAAGGATACAAATGAACAGCCAGATAAGCAGGTACACAAGGTAAGGTCCAGAAGGTTCCTGAATGCAGGAGCTTCTGTCCATGTGGAATTGGGGTGTGCCACCTTCCCAGTAGATGGATGTGCTCACCAACCTGGAAGCTCTCAGAACCCCTTAGTTTAGGGATTTTTATGGAGACTTCATCATGTAGGCAAGATCAATTATTCATTCAGTCTCCAGCGCCTCTCCTCTCCCCAGTAGATGGAGGATGGGGCTGGAAGTTCCAAGTTTCTAATCATGGCTTGGGTCTGTCTGGTGACCAGGCCCCATCCAGAAACTATCCAGGAGCCCACCCAGAGTCATCTCATTAGAGCAAAAAATGTTCTTCTCACCCAGGAAATTCCAAGGGGACTAGGAGCTCTGTGTACGATGCTCCTATCATCCCCATCACACAGGAAATCACACAGGCTTTAGGAGTGCCATGTCAGGAATTGAGAGTCAAACACTAAGTATTAGAAAAAAAGATGCCCCTAGAACCCTATCACTGAGGAAATTAGAAAGGTTTTAGAAGCTGTGTGTCAGGAACTAGGAAAAAAACACCAAATACATATTTCTTATTGTGTCACAGGAGGATATACATTACACATTTGGCAAAACCCACAGGACTATACAATACAAATGCTGAACCCTAATGTAAATTTGTTAATAATAATGTATCAATTGGTTCTCCATTGTGACAAATGTATCACACTAATGCAAGATCTTAATACAGGAGAAACCGTGAGCCAGGGAGAGGGGTATATAGAAATACCATATATATCTATATATAGATATACCATCTGTTCAATCATCGGCAAACCTAAAACTGCTCTAACAAAACAAAACCTATTAATTTTTTATTTTTTATTAATATTTAATCTTTTAAAAATTTTTAAAAGATTTTATTTATTTATTTATGTGAGAGAGAGAGAACATGTGTGTGCCAGTGGGGAGAAGAGCGGAAGGTGAGGAAGAAGGAGGGGGAAAGAATCCTCAAGCGGACCCCATGTTCAGTGCAGAGCCCGACGGGGGGCTGGATCTCACCACCCTGAGATCATGACCTGAGCTGAAACCAAGGGTTGGATGCTTAACCAACTGAGCCACCAGGTGGCCCCTTTTATTAATTTTTTTAAAAAAGGAAAAGAAATTTAAAAAGTCAATGAGGTTGGTTGTGAAACTGGTCAGTGAAAAATTTGATGAAACATTTAATGAGAGGAACTTAGGTATAGAAAAAATCTAAGTAAATCATTCTTTAACAATCCATGTTTGATCAGAACTGTCTGCCTTGAGATCATACCAGAAGCAGCTATCGTCTCCATAAAATAGGAACGTCTACACTGATGTCAACCATGGGCAGATATAGATATGAAAGATAATGCTACATACTTTTAAAACCAGTGAATCCCTGAGGTCTTGTTTCATTTTCACAAAACTTACTCTATCTGAACTTTGAAATCTCATTGAGGCTTTGTCCAAATAGTAAAAGCAGTCTAGGGTGCCCACAGAGAAAGGTAGAAATAATTATGTCAATTTAAGCTACGTGAGCCAGAGGTTTTTTTTAATTTTATTTTTAATTTTTTTTAAAGATTTTATTTATTTTTTGACAGAGAGAGAGACAGCGAGAGCAGGAACACAAGCAGGGGGAGTGGGAGAGGGAGAAGCAGGCTCCCCGCGGAGCAGGGAACCCGATGAGAGGCTCGATCCCAGGACCCTGGGATCATGACCTGAGCCGAAGGCAGACGCTTAACGACTGAGCCACCCAGGCGCTCCTAGAATTCTCATTTTAAATTTTATAGAGCTATTATTCATACGTCAGTGATAAGAAACTTACATATAAAATTATGTTTTAATCCTAAGATGCAGTATAATAAGGCTTTTGGGTTTAGTTTAGTCTCCTCTTTCTATGAAATGCAGACTCAGAGAAAACACAGACTCTATCAAATGCCAGTTCTCAAGTCTTAGGATTTTGACTCCACTACTCTTTTCATAAAAATATACAATCTTTATATGATTTATAGGACTTATAGGCATCTTATTCTGCTAGGTAAGGAATGGTGTGTTCTATAACCACTGACTCCGTAGCCGTACCTCTGGAGTCTGGCCCGCCCACCTGCAAAAGCCAGAGCCTGGGCTCTACTGTTTTAATAAATATGTTTCTAAATTACTATAAAAGTAACATATAATCATTGTAGAAAATTTAACAGAAGGAGAAGCAGGAGGAGGAGTGGGAGGAGTTGGAAGAAGGGGAGAGGAAGGAAGGAAGGGAAGGAAAAAAAGAAATCATTTACAACCTCACCACTCTGAGGTACGGAAGGTACGCATTTTAGAGCTTATCATCATGGATGGTTTCTAATATTCTACACACTCTTGTAACTTGCCTTTTTCTACTTAACATCTTTCCGTGGGAAGCAGTGTAGCTAGAAAGAGAAGGTAGCAGAAACTTGTAGCTAGTGGACAAAGGTGCAAGCTCTGAACTAGAATTGCCTGGTTCACGTCCTGGATCAGCTCTGTGGCTGTGTGACCTGGAGCAGACCACTCCGCCTCTCTGTGTCCTCAGTTTCCCATCTATAAAATGGTGATGACAGTAGTAACTATTTCTTCATAGGGTCCATTATGAGGATTCAATGGCTTAATATATCTAAACCACTTATAACAGTGCCTAGCACAAAAGTATACTTTATATCAGGGGACAATAGTAAAGAACTAGAAAGTAAGTATTTTAGGCTTTACTGGGCTTATGGTTTCTGGCAGAACTCCTCAACACTGCCTTTGTAGCACAAAAGCAGCCATAAAAGAATGAGTATGGCTGGGTTCCGATTAAACTCAATGGACACTGAGTTTGAATTTCATATAATTTTCACACGTCATGACATTTTCTTCGTCTTTTGATTTTTTCCGCCTGACAAAAAATGTAAAAGTCATATTAGCTCTTGGCCTGTACAAAAATGGACAGTGGGCTGGGCCTTTATACCACAGTTTACCAACCTCTGTTCTATATAATGAATTCACATTATTATATTTCTAATATTTCTACAAAACATTTTTGTAAGTAGACTCCAGGCTCAACATGGGGTTCTAACTCCCGATCCCAAGATTTAGAATGGCAGGCTCTACTGACTGAGCCAGCCAGGAGCCCCTCTACAGCTTTTTTTTTTTTTTTTTTGGCTGCTTAGAACAAGATTGTTTGGATATTCTATAGTTTACTTAGTCCCCTATGGTTAGAATTTAGCTTATTTCCAGTGTTCTTTATTATAAGCCATTCTCCAATGCATATCCATGCGTAATATTTGTGCACATTTATTATCGTATCTACATCTTAAAATGTATTTGGTGGTAGCTACTAATTGGCTGGCAGAGCACCTAGAAAGAAACAGACTCTGAAGAAGTAGCCCTGAAAATTAACCTTGTTTAGTTTTAACAAATTTCAAACACGTTAGAGAATGAGCTTATCAGTATAATGTATATTCATATACATAGAACTTACTATGTACCACACCCCATTCTAAGCCTTTTACATATATTAAATCATTTAGTCCTCAAAACACTCCTATGAGACATGGGTGCAATCATGATCGTTATCATCATCATCCCCCTGGTACCAAAGAGGAAACCGAAGCACAGAAAAGCTAAGTAACTTTCCAAGGTCACACAGATAGCTGGTGGCAGAGACCGGTGTCAAACCCAGCCTGTCCAGCACTAGGCCCCATGTTCTTGAACACTGTGTGGTCCTGTCCCTTCCCTGGAGGGATTTGGCGAGTGTGCACTTCCAGGTACCTACCTGATAAATGTACCTGTTGTCTTTTTCATGTTTAGATCATGTTTGGCACTCACAATCGACCTCATACTCTAATATTCGGCACAGATTGTATCCCACAATGGGACATTTCGAGTGGAAACTGAATGTCCATCTAACCTCCTTCCTCTTTCGTCCTCCAACCCTTCCCCCCATGCCAACTCTTCATTAATTTGCCCTGCATTTCTTACCCAAAATAGGTGTCCTCAAAGAACAGTAGAGATTGATTGGAGCATACTTTCATATCTTGTCCTCCAACTTATGGTCCCAAATCTAGCAATTTCACTTGGCAATTTCGGGTGGAACTTCGCTTAAAGTGGAGGGCCCTGAACCGCCACGGGAATGCAAATTTCGGATAAGTACCCTCCTTCTTTGAAAACAGTGGCTTGTGTCAAAAGTCTCTCCCGCATGGCCCCCGCAGCAACAGGGCGGGCTTGGGTGGCTTGTTCCGACCCCTAGCCAGGTTCCCGAGGGCGGTGTCCTGCGTCGGTATGAGCCAACACGCCAGCCTCCGCCGCAAGGCTCGGAAGCTGAGTTGCGCGCTCTCCCGGCCCTTCCTGCTGGTGCTGAGATGCGAGCGAGTGTCCCAGAAAGGAGTTATTCGAGTGGGTCGTTCGACTTTGAGGGGAATGAAATTCTAGTTCTCATTTTTATCCTGCTTTATCTCCCTGCTGGGATCCTACTGCTGGAGTTATCCCCTTGGAGATGAGCCACCAACGCCGCTGGTCCTAAGATGTTGCCCGCCCCCCCACGGATGCCCAAACAAGGACAGAATCGAGAAGTAGAGAGGAAACGGGGAAAGAAAAAAGCGGGTGTTTCAAACTGATCGCGGTGGTGCAGACGCGGCGGTGGAGCTGGAGCAGCCGGGCGGGGAGTTGGGCCCAGGCCCCGGGCTCCGCCCGCCGGGGGGCGCCCGGGCGGCGGGCGCCTGCGCGGTGCGGCCCCAGCCCGGGCAGCCACCGTTGCGATGCCTATTTTAGTCAAAGCCGCTGCCGGCGCGGGGACCCGGCACCAGCCAAGGAGGCTCCGGAACCGCGATCCGCTGAGGTTTTCGCTTCGGGCGCCCGTCGAGCTGCCGCGTCGCTGTCCCCGCGCCCTGCCACTGTCGCGCCAAACTTTGGCCAGCACCGCCCAGGTTCGGTGCCAGGGACAAGCCAGGTAAGGAGCGGGAGGCGTAGCTGCCGGCGGCTCCCCCCACGCGCCCGTCTATTTGCAGCCTCGGGCTCCCGGGGCTAAATCGGGAAGCAAAGTTGGACCGCTGCTCCGCTGGGAACAACTTTGTCAGCCCCCGAGGCTGCTGCGGGTTCTCCGCGCCCGGGCCGCCAGGAGCCGTGCCCTCTCCTCCCTGGTCGAGCCCTCGCGGGGTTCCCTGTTCTTGGAAGCCGCCTTTCTCCCGCGTCTGGGGTCCATCGCCACAGTCCCTCAGGTGTCAGCTGTTGCAACACGGGTCTGGCTGCGCCATCCCCCTCGGGCCCTCCAGCCCCCTCGGGTGCCGATTCCCGCGCTCTGCCTCGGGCAAGCCATTGGTGAGGTTGGCATCTCCTCCTCCAGCTGGACGCCCGGGGTTCCCGGCCCCTAACCCACTATAGGCTCCTCCTCGCCCGTTCTGGGGCCGCCGGGTCTCCTGCGGAGGCTGCGCGCAGCCGGGCGCACTGTGTGGCCTGCTCCGGCCGGGCGCTGGGATTGCCAGGTGGGGCACGGCGCTCACTGCACACCCCTCGTGGCCCGAACGTTCGAGTCAAGAGGAACAGTAGACACTGATTCTCCTTTAAAGAGCGAGGTGAGCGGGTTCCCTGGGGAGAACTGATGGCTGGGGAACCCGTGAACCTCGCCACCCGCCCGCGCCCTGGTTTCTGAGGCATTGGAAACGTGTTGTAGGCCAGACACGTCCCAGAAACTGCTTGCTTTGAAGCAAGAGTAAGTGCGAAAAGACCCTTTGCCATTCCACGGATGTACAAAGGTTCAGTTCGATTTACAGAAGGAATCAAGTCTGCCAGCACGACTTTTGCTTATTGCTGCCTTTTCATTTTTGTAGTTTGATGGAGGGTTAATGTTAGTTTCACCATGTAGCTATTTAATCCTACAGACACCTATTTGGAAAGGGATAGATAAACAGTACTTTACCAGAGCAGGTAATTAAAGGAACTAGACTCTGAAGAACTAATAGGAGAAAGAAAATTTCTCTTGATTCAGTCAAAATTAACCTGAACGTTTAGCAGTTTTTCAGTCTAGCCTTCCTCCTTAGACTCATTGTGGGTATAAGGATAGTTCAGTGTAAACGACTTAAATCCATTAAAAGTGATCAAAGGGAGCCGAAACTAGTAAAATCCAGTCAATATTATTGACAATAGGTAATGGCATTTCAAAATTGACATAGAGATAAATACACATAGATAAATAATAGATATACAAATAAATAATAAATTATATAATAAATGTATTATACAATGTTAGCTATTCTACAAGCTATAATACATACAGAAAATAAAATAAATATGTATATAAATACCTAAATCTTTAATAAGGTGTGGTGCATCAATATGTTGTAGGATGATCATACCTTTTAAAAATTCCTATTGCTGGGGAGCCTGGGTGGCTCAGTAGTTAAGCGTCTGCCTTCGGCTCAGGTCATGATCCCAGGGTCCTGGGATCCAGCCCTGCATCGGTCTCCCTGCTCCAAGGGAGACCTGCTTCTTCCTCTCCCACTCCGCCTGCTTGTGTTCCCTCTCTCGCTGTGTTTCTCTGTCAAACAAATAAATAAAATCTTAAAAAAAAAAATTCCTATTGCTATTTCCCTGGTTCTTGTGTCAGTAGATCGTAGTTTTCCTATCATTTCTCTTGGAGCAGAAGTTGGTACCTTTAGTGCCACTTGAAGAACTTTTAAAAGCCTGAAACTGAGCTAGAGTGGATTAGTTGGTAATACAGGTGTAACTGGGTGGATATGAAGGGGAATATGTATTGACTAACTTATTATATAAATGTGTATTAGAGCCTTAAGCTATTAAAACTTGAAGGGGTTTCAAAGACCATCTAGTCCAGCTACCTTTATTCCCAGGAAGAAGCTGACCCAAGGAGCGGAAGTGACTTTCCTTAACTTATGTGGCTCCCCAGGGCTTTTGGTATAGAACTTGACTTTCTTAGTCCCAGCAACGCTGGGCACTTTCCTGTCTTTACTACTGAGGTTTGGGGAGACTGAAAGTGATTTCTAAAAATGTTTGTCATGTCTGTGTCCCTTCTGTATGGCTTTCACCTCTGGCATTCTCTGCAGAGTCTAGGCCTTGGGTATACATAGATGAATATGACATCGCCTCTGCCTCATAGAGAACACAGGATAGTTAGAAAAGCAAATAGGACAATGGAAGTAGAAGCACATTCTAAAGTGCCATAGAAATGTAGTTATTATTAGTTTAGGTAATGCTAATGCATAAGCTGACATTGACACTAGTTTGTGAGTGATAAAGGACCTTGAATATCATTCTCCCTCCTGCAGAAATTATAGGATTAACTCTCATTTGGTCCTTGAAAGCAAACTTTATAAATGGAATTATTCAAATAATGATACCTCTCACCCGAATAGGCTTATATTTTTATTGATTTAAACATTTGGAAAGTAGTTGAATTTATGTAGTTTCTTTCCTTTTTGCAGAAAATCACTATCTAAGTCAACTATCTTTGAACTATTTCAGAATTATATGAAGAGATCTTTAATTGACTCAATCATTTCATCCAGAGTTTGTAATGCATGGACTTTTTTTTATCATCTTAAGAGATGTAGAATTCTTTCAGATTTGTCTAATAACATCCTTTCAAAATGCCCAATCTGTACCAACTATTCTACCACCTAAAACCTTTACTTTGATGTGATAAAAAAAAAAGAATGGAAAAATAAGGTTAATTGTGTGACCTTATTATGGAAAGACATATTATTAGATTAAATTTAAAGATTTTTTTTGGTCCCCATGTGGAATTTTTTTCTGAAATGGAATAATTCATATAATCTGTAAACCTACATGGTTTTTTTTGTCAGAGACCAGTTTGTATAATTAATAATAGAAAGAGTTTTTTAAGAACCAGAGATAGATGGGGCGCCTGGGTGGCTCAGTCGTTAAGCATCTGCCTTCGGCTCAGGCCATGATCCCAGGGTCCTGGGATCGAGCCCCGCATCAGGCTCTCTGCTCAGCGGGAAGCCTGCTTCTCCCTCTCCCACTTCCCCTGCTTGTGTTCCCTCTCTCGCTGTGTCTCTCTCTGTCAAATAAATAAATAAAATCTTCAAAAAAAAAAAAAAAAAGAACCAGAGATAGAGGACAGGTAATTTCGTTAGGAAATGGTGCCACTTTGTGTTAAGGTTTAGGTAAACATGTGCAAAACGTGTACTCTTTGAAATGTATTTGCTATAGATTTTAATATTACATAGTTGAATGTATATTCATTACCTCTTCTACATATAAGTAAACCACAAGTTTACTACTTTTTAATTCGTAACATGCTACCTAGTAGAGTTTTTGTGGGAAAGAAAGTAGAGATTTAAATCGGACAATGGAAGGAAGAGTAAATTCTGTATCTCTGTGTATAAAAAAATGATTAGTAATGCATTTATTATGTGTATATATGATAATATAGAATGTATATATATGATACAATGATTTAATGACAGTATATAAATAGAGCCTTCTAAATATCCTAAGCCTTCAAATAGTAAATATGAGAGGGTTAATTTTTTTGAAAGTACTTAAAAAATCAGTTTTTCCAATCCTTTTTTCTGTGTTTGGACTCAGTGTCATAGTGAGAATGTGATGGAAGACTTTGTAATTGCTGTGGTTTATGAACATTGGTGATTGTCTTTTAGACTAGTTAATTTCTCATTCCTCTTTCCCCCACCATGTATGTTTATTTACAGATATATGTATCAGCGAATAGTTGTGCACTATGCTAAATATTTTATATATTTCATTTCATTTCATTAGAAAGTCAAATGAGGTATTACTATCATCATTTAACAGATAAAGTAATAACACTTAATATGTGACTGGTAGGGTTCAAACCTGGGTCTAATTCATAAGCACCAGAAAAGTCTATCTACCAACATTTAGTTCAAAGAAGTCATTTTGATACAATACCTATAGGGGTAGTAAGATACGGCTACCATTTTTATGATTGTTCTCTTGTTTCTTTGTTTTTACAGGGATTTTCAAGATGAATTATACCGAGCCCAGCCCATTGACAGAATCAACTGCAATAGATTTTACACCTGAGCTAGAAAGTATCATACCTGTGCCTTCCAATGAGACCACATGTCAAAACTGGAGAGAGATACATCACCTAGTTTTTCATGTAGCAAATATTTTTTTCACAATTGGGTTGGTTATTCCAACTACTCTTCACCTTCATATGATACTCCTTAGGGGAATGTTAACTATAGGTAAGAATACCTACCTAATCAAGACGTTTGTAACTTCTGTGGTACTGGCACCAGATGGGCTTTGTGTTGGGGGCTTCAGGGCATTTCTATAGGGCAGGTCTATAGCATACCAAAAATATAGGTCTCTGTCGGCAAATTAGCAGTACGTGTATCAGGTAACTTGCAACGTAGGCCTTTACATGCCCTTATTTATTTTAGATAAGACTGTGTGTGTTTTCTTTTTTTTTTTTTTAAGATTTTATTTATTTATTTGACAGAGAGAGACAGCCAGAGAGGGAACACAAGCAGGGGGAGTGGGAGAGGAGGGGAGAAGCAGGCTTCCCGCAGAGCAGGGTGCCCGATGCGGCCTTGATCCCAGGACCCTGAGATCATGACCTGAGCCGAAGGCAGACGCTTAACGACTGAGCCACCCAGGCGCCCCATGACTGTGTGTGTTTTCTCTATTGTTTAGATTTTCCAGATATCAAAAACTCCATTTGTATATAGGAGTGTGTGATCCAAATCCTGGTTCCACCACTTGCTAACTGTGTAACTGGGGCAGGGGATCGAACCTTTCTACCCCTTAGTTTTCCCACGTGTCAAATAAGGGTTAAGATAATACCACCTCCTAGGGTTGTTGTAAGAGTTAAATGAGTGTGTGTGTGTGTGTGTGTGTATGCACGTGTGTATGTATGATATTTGACTTCTAATAGCACCTGGCACATAGTAAGTACTATCCAGTCTTCACCACTATTATTTGAATAGGCATTTCTTATGGCCTATAATGCGACACTGGGAACAAAAGCAATTTCCCAGACAGCATAGTTCAAGTAAAACTTTTTTGAGGGCTCCAGTAATCCTGATGAAGCAGGTTAAATTGATTCACATCAAAATGCCAAAACAATTGAATGAATTATTTTAGCCACTGATTCTTGACAAATTACGCTCTATGTGATTGTTTCTTTGGTGATTTATTTATTCAGGTGCATTTTTGAGCACCTATAATTTGTCAGGCAAAGACTGAAGAAGGCAGTGTCCATCTTTGAAAAAGATACTTTGGGGGGGGGCTGGAGAGAAACAGATGGGCAGTCACGCATGAGGTGTTGGATGCTGTGATGCAGGTGTGCACCCAGGGCCAGAGAGAAATAGAGAGGGTAATAGGCTCAGCAGGAAGGCAGAACAAGGTCACACTGAGGAGATGACATTGGAGCTGGCTTTTGGAAGCTAAACAGGATTTCTCTGCATGTGAGTGTGTGTGGTATCCAGGTAAAAGGCACAGAGGAGAGGGAAATTCAGCACATTGAGGGAGAATGAAGAGTGGCCCATTATGTCTGGAACACATGAAAAATGACAAGGAATGTTCAAAGTGAAGCCTGGAAGTGAGAGACAGGCTTCCAGTTATGGAATGAATAAGTTATGGGAATAAAAGGAACAGCGTAGGGAATATAGTCAATGATACTGTAAGAGTGTTATATGGTGACAGACGGTAGCTATGTTTGTGGTGAGCAGAGCATAATGTATTGAGATATTGAATCACTATGTTGTCCACCTGAAACTAATGTAACATTATGCATCAACTATACTCAAAATGAATAAACAGTAGATAGATAGATAGATAGATAGATAGATAGATAGATAGATAGATAGACTAGGAAGGGGCTGGAAGGGAAGATACAAGGCAGCTTGTGGGACTTCTGTGTTACCTCTGAGTCAGGTAGGGATTGCAGCAGGCATTACAGTGTTGAATGAAAAACAAAACAAACCCACACCCTATAAAAAGGCAAAGGCTAATTATAAATTTTTCAAGATTTTATTTATTTATTTGAAAGAGAGAGAGTGGGGGCACACACAGGAGCAGGGGAGGGGGAGGGGCAGAGACAGAGGGAGAAGCAGACTCCCCATTGAGCAGGGAGCTCAAGGCAGGGCTTGATCCCAGGTGCCAGGATCATGACCTGAGCCAAAGGCAGACGGCCTAACCGACTGAGCCACCCAGGCACGCTGCTAATTATAAATTTTAAGACACAGTTTTAGAGGTAGGACAGACCAAGGAGATCATCTAATCCGACCAAGAAGAAACCTGGAGAAGTTAGATGACTCATCCAAAATTAAGACGGAGAGAATGTGGCCAAACCAGGACTATAATTCATGTCCTCATGTTCCCAGTCAGTTGAAGCATTATTTTTCCCCATACTATTTTAAAATTCAAAAGAATTTGCTATGAAATATTATTTTAAAAACTTACAAAGTTTTACATTTTGGTCTGCTCAGATGCCCCAGATCATTCTGATGAAATAAAAATTGCAAATGGATAACTTTTTAATGTGGGAGGTTAGCTTTTATGTGCAGGTATGCTGTTGATATATTTGTATCATATTGATCATTTTATTTTAAATTAAAAGTGTATATTGACTCTCCCACCAAAAATGTATCAAAAAGAACTGGGATATTTTTCCTAAAGTGAGAGAATTGATAAAAAGCAAGATTTCCATAGGTGGGTGGAAAATCATCAAATGAAAAATTCAGATGGCTCAGAAAACTGGTAAAATATTCGGGTTCACCAATAATCATGGAAATGCAAAATAAAATAAAACACATAATTCCTCAGTATCAAATTAAGAGTTTTCAAATTTTGTAATATTAACAACTTGATAGTGGTATTCCCAACTAGTAGGATTACAAATAATCTATATACCTTTGGGAAACAATTCTTCAGTCTCATCAAAGCTATAAAGTTCATTTCCTTGACTTACTGTCAGGTAATCCACCCTAAGGAAATAGTCAGAAAAACATTAATTCTTAATGTATAAAGATGTTTTGGCGATGCATCAAAAATTTACACCCAAAAAATCTCATCTGTTTACCAGTTGGGAAATGGTTAGATAAATTAGGGCTTAATCAGTTACAGTCATTAAAAACTATGTATATGAAGAATTTTAACAATGTGGGGAAATTACCACAATAAGTAAAATAAGTAAAAGTGGGTTTTAAAAATTTTATATACTGTAGATTTGCCATCAGGTAAAAATACATCAAGACAGTAAGGAAGTATTAAATATCAACAGTGGTTTTCGTTAAGTGGTAGAATTATGGGTTTTTTTCCCCTTTAAAAAATATTTTCTATGTAAATTTTCTGCAACAAAGCACATTTTTCTTTTGTGGTAATAAGACAAAAAACAAAATGGAACTTAATGTGATGTTTGGCTTAGGTATTTCTTTTTTTCTTTTTTTTAAGAGAGAGAGAGAGAAAGGGAGTGTACACCTGCACAAGCGGGGGGGCAGAGGGAGAGATAGAGAGAATCCTAATCAAGTTCTATGGGGTGCTGGGGTGGGAGGGGGGAAGTGCAGGAGTCGGGGGGGGAGTGGGGGTTTTGGGCCTGAGCCAAAATCAAGAGTCTGATGCTTAATCAACTGAGCCACATAGGTGCCCCTGGCTTAAGTATTTCTAAAATGTGTTTGGGGTTTGTTTGTTTTTTTTATATATACAGAGAATAACAAATTTATTAAGCTACATGCTGACGCTATTCCAGACATCTAACACATTGACTTTGTTATTCAACAGGATGCACCCTTTATATTGTCTGGGCCACTCTCTACCGATGTGCCTTGGATATCATGATCTGGAACTCTGTGTTCCTGGGTGTCAACATTTTGCATCTGTCATATCTTTTGTACAAGAAAAGACCGGTAATTACTAAAATTCATTAATAAGGAAGAGATTTTAAAGTCAAAAAAACTTTTAAAGTGCTTTGTTCAGACTTGAGAATGAACATCTAACATCTTTAGTCCCTTTAATATCATTCTCTGATTTTGTTTATATATGTCTAAAAGCGAAATATTTGAACACCATGAACTTTGTTCTACAAATAAGTCTTTTTTGAAGATGCAGTTATTTATTTTAGAGAGAGAGTGCAGGCGGGAGGGGCAGAGGGAGAGGCAGAGTGAGTCTTAGGTGGACTCCACACTCAGCACAGAGCCCACGCAGGACTCCATCCCACAACCCTGAGATCAAGACGTGAGCCGAATCCAAGAGTCAGGCGCTCAACCAACTGTGCCACCCAGACCCCCCTACAAATGAGTTTTTTAAACTTTTTACATCGTTAAGGCAATTTAGACATGAGGACATTTTTCGTCATAGAACTTCATTATTTCTTTTGTCTATTGATATTTAAACGTCACTTGGAAATATCTTTGCCCAGCTGTAAAATTAATTACTCACAGGCAACTTCCTTGAACGTACTAATGATTTACAAATACTTCCTGCTATTTTGTAAATGTAATGACTTTATTTTTTTCTCATTATGCCCAAAATATTCATTTAAGGAAATCGTCATTTTGGGAGGGTGTTGCCAAAACATTAGTATTTAACTTTTTTTTTCAACTCTGATTTATCTTTTTGTGTTTCTGGCCATTCTAAGACCAAAAAGATGTAAATAGGATAAGAAAGCAGTGTGACTTCTAGAAATCCTTCCCCACATTGTTTACGAATGGTTCAAAGTACACACAATTATTCAATAAGGTAAAAGATACAGCACTTGTCCTCATCTTATATTCAAAGCCAGACATGTGCACAGAAAACTATGAGAAAACAAGACATTTCACAGGAAACGATAATTTGAATGATATAAATAGGCATTCTACTAGACTGTAACCTCCTCAAACGTTGCCACCCAGTCTGTTTTGCTTACTGTATTAGTTTTCTCTAGGTTACCCCGTGTAATAAACAACCTGAAAATCTCAGGGACAAATAACAGTGACAAGCCCTCTTTCTCACCCACCTTACAGGTAGGCTCTAGCAATTGTGTGTCAACTGTGATTCTGTGCTGTGTCTTCATTTCAGGGTCTCTGCTGAAGCAGCAGGTTCTGGTTAGACATGCATTCTCATGGCAGAGAAAAAAGTACAAGAGAACAAAGGAGAAAGACCTGGTGTCTCTTAAAACTTCTGCACAGAAGGAGCATACGTCACTTTTGCTCACATTCCATTGGCTAAAGCAAATGACACGGTCAAGCGTGATAGTGTGGGAATAGGCTGGGGTAAGGGGATGGGTAATCCTTTTACAGGGGATGGTAGCAACAAATAGTTGGGAATGATAATATCATCTTCCACCTTACAGTTGTGCTCTGCGTTCCTGTCAACTGTGACTGTCACATAACAAGTGCTCAAAAAAATATTTGTGGAGTGACTGCTTTCACAAGAAGAATTAAGAAGGCTTCAGGAAGGAATTGGGACTTGAGCTAAGATTTGCAGAGTGAGCAGATTATGAATTTGAGTCAATAGATCTTTCAGTTCCTGTGTTCATTACCAGGCCACATTGGCTAGTGTGTATCTTGAAAGTGGGACATATTTGTGAATAAACTCTTTTAAACACTCGTTACTAGCACTCTGAAGTAGAAGAGGTAGATGGTAGTAATAATGAGGATTATAATTTCTGAATATCAGAACTTGCTGGAACCCCAAGTTTGAACATAAGGTTCAGAAGTTGCTGCTGTGATGATGGTAGTAGCATCAAGTAAAACACCCACACAGTATCTGTGCTTTTGTTTCTTCTCACATTATAAGCCTACTTTTTTGAAAAATATAAATGCTGGTTCTTTGTTAAAATGAAAGACAGCAAGAGCATTGCAAAGGCCACGGTGACGTCTGAGTGGTTATCATTATCTGAGTCTACAAGCTTTATGGTGTGACTGTCAGGGATTTCATTGGGATGGATGATCATTTGAACCCCAAAGTTCATTCATCTGCTATCCAGTTTTCCCAGACTAATGCTGGGCGCAAATATGGCATGTGATCTTGGTCTTGTCTGACAGCAGAGGTGATTCAGCCATTTTGCTTTTCCATTCCTCCAGTAGCCAGACTTAATTCTGTGGGTTCTCATTCTACAGAGTATTTCACTTTAAGATGAAATTGCTCCACAGAAACCCTTTCACTCTCTTCACTTGGCTTCAGAATAAATAAATCAGAAGCAATGATTGCAGCTATGGATGTTTGTTTTCCTAAATTGATACAATAAATAACACAATAGGCAAATTTTTCCCAAGTTGATTCCTACTTTATGTATTGTTTTGCGATAACATTGAAAAGGTCACGTAATTTCTTTCTGTGAAACAAAATTGTTATACAGACAAAAATGTTCCGTGTTATTGATAGGAAATGCTAAGATTGGAAAGGTCTATGTTGTGGTTAACGTTCAAAACCTCCACAGCTGTTCTGCAGCACATGGAAAGAGATGTGATCAATAGTGCAAATCTTTTCCATATGCTCTTGGAGTTGTTTAACTGCAAAAGTGCCCTTTGAGCATCTAAACTTCTGTCCCCACTTCCTGTCTGGGTACGAGTCCATTGACTGAAATGCAGAAGGGCCACGGTGCGTCTTGCAGATTTGTTTCTTCTCAAACCCGTATTGAGACGGCAGAAGCCAGTGTTTCGCTGTTGCTGTGTTATGGCAGCATCCGGTCATTGCTGCATTTCAGGTAAAGATTGAGAAGGAGCTCAGTGGCATCTACCGCCGATTGTTTGAACCACTCCGTGTGCCTCCAGATCTGTTCAGAAGATTAACCGGCCAGTTTTGTATGATCCAAACCTTAAAAAGGGGCCAGACGTATGCTGCAGAGGATAAAACCTCAGTTGACGACCGTCTGAGTATCCTCCTGAAGGGGAAGTAAGTGCTCTCTGGAAATTGAAATTCCCCGTTCGCCTTGAATCTTCTCATGTACCCTGGGTAGGGAATGACTAGAAGAGAATGATACAGATCATCAGGTCACAGAGTTTGTTGAGGTGATGAAATCCCATGTTCCAACTGTATTTTCGAATACTACCGAGTTAACGGGTTAGAGTTACATAGAATTGACTACTCTGAATCTTGTGGATGTTAGGATTTCCACCTGTGAACATTTTGAACCTTTGTTGACCCTTTTTTTAAAGTTAATGAGTCAACATTGAAGTAGGTTTAAGTTAGTCATTAAACTTCCAGAAGCTTGTGCATGTTTCACAGGTGATTTGTTTTTGAATATCACAAAAACATAACTTCTAGGAATATTAGCCTTCTGAGGAGAGAGCCAGTATATACTGTTCTGACATAATTATTAATACCAGCCCTTTCCTTCTCAAAAGTATCTGATTTTGAGCAATAAATTTATGGTCACTCTAGCTATATGAGCAGTGATAACCATTGGAAGGCACATGTCTCCTCAATAGTGGAACCTGTCTTTTTTTTTTCTTGTTGGTGAAATTTATACTGAAGTAAATATTTATGCTTTGAATTATGTTTGTCCTCTGTGGAGTCTTTAAAACTTTAGTACAAAATACCAACCCATTAGATTAAGGATCGTCATGTTATTTGTGGAAATATTATGTATTTATTAACATTAATTTCTGTTATCAGAATGAAGGTTTCCTATCGAGGACATTTTCTGCATAACATTTACCCCTGTGCCTTTATAGATTCTCCTGAATTTAGATCAACTCAGATGCACAAAGGTGAAAAATTCCAGGTATGTTTCATCATGATTTTCAGAAGATTGGAACTAGTTCATGTCTCATTTGATATGCAGAAGATATTAATAGAAAAGTGATTTATTGAAAAAAGAGATTACCATATGGTACATATAGCATGATCCCATTTTCATAAAACTTAAACAAAATAGTACCTATGCATGCATAAAAAGAGGTCTAGAAAGACATATCCTACTTTGGCCGTAGTGTTAACACTGTTATTTCTGGGTTGTGAGTTTGACTGTTTTTTTATTTTCTTCCTTTTGGTTTATTGGAATTTTTATAATTTTTCTGTAGAAAATATCTAGTGCTTTGATTATGAGAAGAAAGGAAAATGTCAGTTGTGGATAATCAGTGTTCCTAAAACATGTCATTGGTTACTTTTGTTGGGAAAAAAACAGAAGCTGGCTTTACCTTAGAGATCTTCTTTTGTTAATCCTTATGAAAAAATTAATCACTTTACTCTTTTATTTTTAATGAATAAGGGCAAAGAATGAAGTTCTTCATAGCTAAAATTCGCTCCATCATGGGGCACTTTGTTTTGATTCTTTCTGTAAGTGTCCAGCCCTCCTATATTATTCCCCACTTGACTGATAGGAAAGTAACCAAGAAAATGGGTGAGAGTTTCCTTTGCTCTCAGCCTCTAGATGAACAGCAGTAAGGAAATATCCTGAGAAGATCCTGAGCAAGAGTGTAAATGTGTAGGTAGGAAATGGAATAGGAGGGGTGTTATCACCTTAGGGAGGAAATGTCAGTGTTTCTTGATGACACATCTTATTTTTGAGTCCCATTTTGAGAGGCACCATACAATTTGGGAGGCCACATGGAGATAAAAGGGAAAATTTACAGACATACGGTTGAGTTGAGTTGAGTTTAGATACGATGGTTGGAGCCCTACCCCACTCCTATTCTGCCTGAGTAGCAGGTCTGAATAACCGCACAACCTGTGAAAGTTATGTGTATTTACTACAAGGTCTCATGTAAGTTCATTAACTGGGTGTAGTACTGTTCCCAAGCAGGCTGAGCTTAAGATACACAAGTGGAAAGCTAATGCTATCTCGTGGCTTCTCGAATTTACACTCTCACCTTGTGTTTGTGAGGGTAAGCTGTGCACTGAGACTTATATTCTTACTGTACCACCATCTACAAACTGGTACAAAGCCACTTCTTTCCTCTCTCCTTCTTTCCTCTGCCCTCCTTACAATTTCTTCTTCCAAAGCCATTTATCTTTTGATCCGTTTCTCTGTCTAGAGTAGCAAGGGGCATTGCACAATAACTCAGTCTCATTATAACCCCAAAGAGACTGGAATTTGGAGAGGGGGTGGAAACTGAACCCCCTTCATTTGTAGAAGCAAGTGCTCCCTGAGAGGCCTGGGATATGAACTGGTACTGTCTTTTCCACTGGACTTCAAATTATATTTTAAATTAAAAAGGAATTCCTACTACGAGCTGCAGTTTCTTCTTGGGGACTAGGGGTCGGGATTTGGTAGTTGAGAAATGTTCCTGAAAATTGCTGTGGCTATTCCAAAATCATGGCCCAGATCGAGGTACCATAGCCGGGAAAGGATATTTATTCAGCCTTTCCAACACCAGTCACCTTTTGTCTGCACAGAGTGTGGTGTGGCATCTTCTGATTGGTCAATGGATAAAAACTACTTGAGCATCGTGGAACCTGGGTCCTGCACAGGTGGAGCAGGCTCCATCAGAGCAAACCCTTGGGAGAGATTGTGTTTTGATTGTTTACAAAATGCTCCCAGTGACACATACTCAAGAGTAAAAATAGCCATTGCGCATCTGTGTAGGAGTACATAGTGCCTCTTTCTGAAGCAAGTTCCCAAATGAAACATGCCACCTGCTCTAACGTCTCACTACCTGTGCCCATAGTAGAGGACATTTGAAAGTGTCAGTGGTCAGACTTCCCCACCTCCATGCTTTTCACCTGCTAGTCTCGTTTTTCTTTAATTCTGAACAATTAAAAGTGTTCTGACAAGGAGCTCCTTCCTTCAAATTTTTATTTCTTTAAATTCATCTTCGGTAGGGGTGCTAATGAATTATAGAATAAGGTGGAAGGAGAAAAGAAAGGCAAGTGGGCTCAGTGACCATCTCTCGAGATTCCACAGCAAATGTGGTTTGGGTATATGTGTGATGATTACAAAAGGCGCAGTGACAGGGCTGAGAAACCGATTCTGAACTTGAACTCCCAGATGCCTGAGAGGCGCTTACAGCCATCTTGGTACTTACCCACCAAAGTTGCTGCTTAGAACTCTTGATAGAACCTTGGGTATCTTTATAACAAAAGGTGGAAGTAGTCTTTCGTGTTTGCTTTCTTTTTCTTTGTGCCGTTGTTTTATGTCAAGTGAGCTTTACCGTTTTCCCATTTATCTTTTGTATTCTATCTCCCACTATTGCTTGCCCCTGGTTGGTTGCATGTCCTGTGCTGTGAAGCCTGAAACCCAAAGCTTTATTGACTTTAAGGGAAGAAGAATGTCTTGGAGATCCCAGCCCTCATGAAATAAATGAACACTAAATTTCCACCTGTACTTAAACCAAACCTGATCTTGGTGTTAAGTAAATCTTTTGGTTAGACTGTGAAGCACTTTAATCGGCCAACTTTGACACTACTGTATATTAGTGCTCAGGAGAACTCTAAGCATTGGTTGAATAGAGCAATCCTAGGACATTTTTGTGTTCCTGATGTGCGAAATGTTACATGATACATGAAGAAAATAACAAATTCTCCCCTGCGGACAGTCAACCAGTCATACTGTTGAGCTGCTCTTGCCAATCCTGACACATTTGGCAATTCTCTCAGATGCCTTGTTCTTGTGTAATGTCTTCCCATTCTGTGCAGGTGTAGAATCTAAAGAGAGGGACAGGCCTAGTGCCTTGACGTAATCAAGGCAAACCTGATCACAAACACTTAGTCCAGTTCTCTCACTGAAAGAAATCCTTTTGTATCTCCCAGTGCCATGTTTGCTTTTATTTCCTCAGTAAAATTCTTCTCCAGAACTGAAGCATGGCACTGCTGAGATACCCTAATGACTTAAGAAGCAAATTTATTTTACAGAAGCTTTAAAAATTCTTATATTGCTTTATAGAAATTCCTCATTAAAATGTGTTTTACTTGGCTGTTGTGACAGGAAATCATTAAACACAAATGTCTATTTGGCAGAAATGAAGCATTAGCCATCGTGTAAAATGACCTCAGTCAATATGCTAACTCCGTACTTCCAATTAAATGCCTGCACTTAGGGACTTGCAAGTTACTCGTACATACTGTAGGTATAGCTTATCATTTGAATACTGTTGTTAAATCTAAATTTAATAATAATTTAAACAGGTTTAAAGTATTTTTCAACCATCAATAAGAAATGTATTTGCTAAGCAAATGATAGTATCAGAAGTGTCATTGCCTCTGTGGAAAACTGAAGTTACTGGAATGGTTGAAAAGAAGTTAAATGCATTATATGTCACCTAGGTACAATTCCTTTTTCTTTCTCCTGGATGACTTCCAACTCCTCTTTTAACTTCTTCCCCCATTGCACATGGCTTATATGTGCACGGATGACCTCTTTGCCAAATGAAGGCACCTCCAACCCCTAACCCGTTCTTCAGTGCTTGGTTACAGGGCTATGCTATAGTGAGTACCAGTGCTCACCTTTCTCAAATTACTCCTGTAGAATATTATTCAGCTATCTTGCATTTATTTACCCATCTCAGTATTTCTGGTAACTCCTCAGTGCTGACTTGACCTTATACTTCTCTTCTTAAAAAAAAAAAAATTGGGGGGGAGGGAGGGCTAGATGTCTTTACTAATAAGTAAAGACCAGCTTCCTCCTCTAGAATGTAGGCTTCATGACATTGTGTTCTGCAGTTCTTTGTATGAGGGACCCTTGATGGACTCTGAGCCGACCTTGTAGTCATTTAGCCAAATTACTTTCAATGTGATCGTGTTGCTGAATATTGGACACATTGGGTAGGGTTTGGCTTGGTGGGAAAATATGTCTGGGCTGGAAGTCAGAAGTACTCACTCCACCGCTAATCAACATGTGTTCATGAATAAGTTTTTGGTTCTTGTCATTTGGCATCTGAAAAATGAGGAAGAATATTACTTGCCTTATCTGAAAGGCAATTTTGAGGCACTTACTTACAGATATAAAAACACCTAAATGTTTAAAAGTGCAATACATATATAAAGTGAGTGGGTATTATGTGTAACTGTCATTCCCTGGAGATTTTCTACCACATGCCCCTGTTCTATATTTGTCCAAACACTTATTGCCACCTGAGGGTATCGTATTTTTTTATTTATCATCAGCTTCCTTCACTAGAATGTAAACTTCCCAGGGCAAAGCTCTTGTCTTCCTTGTTCACATTATAATGTCAGTGCCTTTGATAGTGTCTAGCATGAAGTAAGTGTACAATGTATGTTGAAAGAATGAGTGGAAATTAGTTTTTTATGGAGTCATAGAGCAGGTGATGCCTTTCTTGAATCCAAATGTGTTTTGTTTTGTAGATTCCTACTCTTAATATAATAAATAAGTGCAAAAAATTTTTTCCAGGAATACTGACCCACTTTTTAAAGTAGCCAAACCCTGTAATTTGCTAAAGGTCAATTTTCAGCTATTGATATTAGTTGCAAAGCTGGGTTTTCCATTTTCTCTTTTAGTAGACATAAATACCCCCTCACCATCAAAACTAGGTTTAATTTTGTGACAAGCCAAGGGGAAATGGTGCCTTTGGAAATATTTGCTCTGAGTCTCAGATAACGATTTCATGTTAATTAAAAAACTCTTTATGAACTTACTTGGGCGGGCATTGGGTTTAACGTTGAGGATATAAACATGGATTTTTTTCCTTCAACAGTATTTGTGTTCATTTGTTAATTCCTTCATATAATAAATGGACACTGAGCACCACTCTGTGTTGGAAGCTGGGCATTCAGACATGAAGATGCACAGTCCCTGCCCTCAGAGTGCCCGGTGGAGACAGATGTGTCCCCAGATGAGTGTGGGGTCAGTGATTTGAGTGCCACATGGAGCTCAGCGGAGGAGTACTCACTGATGACAGGAGACCTGCATGGGAGGAAGGGCTTCCTGACACTGAGTTGTGAGGGCATAACTCCTCACTCTGGAGAAAGGATTTATTTGAAGAATCTTGAGTTCTGTGCAGTGCAATTACAGTGTTTTCCACTTTCCTGTGGAACAGTGCTCAAGGAAAATGTATGGTTTCCCAATTCTGAGCTAACTGGGGGGTCTCTGTGTGAATCCCCAGTACCCTGGAGCTAATCCTGAAAGGTCACATTCAAGAAATACCTATGACAAAAGGACCCAGAGGAGGACCCTCACTAGCCATATTCCTCAGTTAACAGCCTGGATTCTAAAACCAGTTCACATGAGTCTGTTTTCTCCTTCTCTAATATGCTGGCTAGGCAGAAGGTCTTTCATCTATAACTCACCTCAGGGATCTTACCTCAGTTCTTTTTCCTGAAGCCATATTCTTAAACCTCTGTTGTAATCATCAGGATGTACACAAATATTTAACCATCAATTAATTATATGTCTAATTGGAACATTGGTCTAGTACGCTCTATAGCACCAGACCTCACAAAACAGAACAACAACAAAACTTGGAGAAGTTGCTTTTGGTCTGCAGATTTCTTGGTTTTAAAATGATTTTAAGTATGATTTTACAATAGCTATAGAAGCTTGTGTGTATAGATCTTGCTTTAATTTAACTAATATGACAAATCATTGCTGTAATAATATCCACTAAATTATTCTACTCTTCCTTTCCCCAAAATTATTGTAGTCATAATTCATAAACATAGATACACATTTTTCTTTCTATGTCTGTTTCTTGGGCAGGTCACCATCATTGCAGATGATAACTGCAGATTTTTATGCTGGTCAAGAGAAAGATTAACTTACTTTCTGGAATCAGAACCATTTCTATATGAAATATTCAGGTATCTTATAGGAAAAGACATTACAAATAAGCTCTACTCATTGAATGATCCCACCTTAAATGATAAAGTAAGTGCTTTTTCTGAGTGTGTTTATTTTGCTAAACAATTCTGTATAGTGAAGTATACCTCACTTTATGCAATACATGTTTTTCTGAATTTTCATTTATTCATCATATGTTAAGTAAGGTGGGGATGCTTGTAATTTAGAGACCCTCCGAGGGAATTGTTTCTCAAGAGCATGGAAATATTTTGTAATTATTATATTTGTCATTACCTAGTGAGGTGTCTCTAAATGTCAGGGACCTCCATTTGTGGTGATGTGGTGCTGATCTCTGATAAAGAGTCTTTTAATCAATGTAAGGAAGATGGTACGCAGGGAGGGATGGGGGACAAGGAGGTCAGGAAGGTAGGGTAGCCGGGAGGCTGCAGGCTGAAAAGCACTGGCAAACTCCAGTGAGCAGGAAGTTGGCATTTTAGCACTGGTGTCCTCCAGTTTTGGACATCCTTCTTGTCAAGCCCCCTTCCAGAAAGCCCGTAAGTGACAAGAGAGGGGAGGGAGCCTGTGGCGATTCAGTCAGGAATTTCAGAGCTGTATGGATCTTCTCCAGTTTGCAATGTGATCTTTATTTCCCCACATGTGCATAGAAGGAAATTAAAGTGATGACAGAAGAGAAATTGCAGACCATTGTTTCTGTGATAAGTACTGTTCTCCAGGAACTGTGCACATGGGTGTGTGCTCTCTTAAGGTCCTCTTGTCTAGGCCATTTGTCAAATCAGGGTGGTGCTTATTATTTTTCAGATTAATAAATAAGCTACTGAGTGTATTACATTTTTGTAACATATGTGTAGTGATAGCTTATAATAAAAGTTATAGCTAACATTTATTGGCCACTTACTCTGTACCTGGTAGTTTTTTATTTCAAGGAAAAACTAAATGCTGTTTACAGGGAATATATGACCTAAGTCCCATAGATCTCAGAAATCTTAAACCTTTGCTTTGCAGAAGGCCAAAAAGTTGGAACACCAGCTCAGCCTGTGCACACAGATCTCCATGCTGGAAATGAGGAACAGTATCGCCAGCTCCAGTGACAGTGATGATGGTTTACACCAGTTTCTTCGGGGCACCTCCAGCATGTCCTCTCTCCGTAAGTTATCCCGGGCTGAGAGTCCTCCAGGATTCCGCCAATGTCATTGGAAATAGACAAATGACAACCGTGATCAGAAAAATAGCTTGGCAAGGAACAATTGGGCAACCCCAAGGTATCAGCAAAAGTAACAATTTTTTCTCACTTTTCCTTGTCCATGTTGCCCCTCAGCTAAAAATCCAACATGAGAGCTCTTATCCCTCAGTCCAAATTGCAGAAATTGTTGGCTTGTTTTGCCCCGCACTCTTCCTAAATACTGGTTCACTGGGATAATGTGAAAGAGTTCGTATGGTCTGCTGGGTATTCGGCTTTGTTGCTTTAGTTCAAGTGAAAGCCTAGACCCAGCAATGGGAATGAATGAATGAATAAATAAATAACACAAAATAACCATTGGTGAAGATTTTATTGGCACACTGTGGTGGTAAAGCAGGCAGGAGGCAGGAATTCTTGACTGTTGCTCTCTGGAGATGATACGTGTACAACCTCTATGGAAATATGACCTGTCTATTTAAAATTTAATGCACACACCTTTTGACACAAAAATCTCCCTGCTAGAGTTTTACCCTGTGTATATGCTCTTTGGCAAATGATACCGCATTAAGTGCTGTTCATTCCCGCATTTTTCCACAATTGTAAAATTCTGGGACAAACCTAAATATCCATCGGAAATAAAACTGGTAAATAAATTTTTGGCAAAAAAGAAAATGATGGGAAATAACTGCTGGGTGTTTTACTGCTGACTGGTTATCTCAGTGTGAGCCCCAAGAGTTAACAGATGACTGGGTGATGGAATGGTCCTGAAGATGAAGGAGACCACCCAACACCCCTGTGAGTTACCTCATTCACACACACACCCACTGAGAGGCAAGTTTTCCAAGATTATCCTATGGGTTAGATCATTTTAAAACATTTTAAGTAAGGAACATTTTAAGACACAGAAATTTGAAGATTAGTAAGTGAAATGAGAGAAACTAAATTATTTTAAGAATTATTCCAAGAGGGTGCCTGGGTGGCTCAGTTGGTTAAGCGACTGCCTTCGGCTCAGGTCATGATCCTGGAGTCCCGGGATCGAGTCCCACATCAGGCTCCCTGCTCAGCAGGGAGTCTGCTTCTCCCTCTGATGCTCCTTCTCTTTTAAAAAAAAAAAAAAAAACTTTAAAAAAAAAAAAAAGAATTATTCCAAGAACAATAGTATAAGAAGAACTTTGAACAAATTCATTTGAAGTAGCAAAAAGTCAGTCAAATTCTCCCATTGCATAAAATAAAAAAACTATTAGTGTTTCCAATTGTATGTTAATCCGAAGTAACTTTTAAGGAAATACAGGTACACATTCAACAATCCTAAATGTTTATGTAAATGATCTTGTAACTTTGGATGCTTTAGATAAATTGGATTAAGGATGTTAAGTATTACATAGTGTAGAGGTTGGAATTGGCAAAGCCATATAATGGGCGTAAACTTCCAAAGCAAAGTCTAGGCATAGAAATGTGTTGTGGACCCAAAGGAGATTTCAGGAGTAACACAAATGAGAAATGGGAGATGGCTGTATCTTATTCTAACATAACTTTTGAAAGTACAGACTGAGGCTGACCAAACTCTGCAGTCTGCTAACATATCAAATACATTATCTTGTTGAAACAGTTTGGTGGTTAATAAGCATTTTCAAGTGGACCCATCTTAATTGCATGTATTGTAATTACTATACTAAGAAAGGTCAGCAGAAAGGGAATTAAACAATAAGTTTTTGTTTTTCTATAGTATTTTATTGTATAAGCTAAGTCTTTGGGGAGTAAAATAACATTTTAGAAAAAAAAAGTTTAGAGTATGTTGTTTAAATAGAATAAAAACACATTTTCTAGATGAACATTTGTACTGTTTGTGCCACCAGAAACCTATATTACCAGGTGGATTGATCACCCATGTTGTACATACAGGCCTGGATTCAAATCTTGCACTAATGATTATTAGTTGTGGAACTAGTAAGTGTGGGTTTGAGTGTGGGTATGTGTGAATTGTGCAACAAAGCCCTGCTCATACCTAATTCCCTCTGACTAATCCCTGTTCTGAGTTTCTTGGCTTCACTTCCTGCCATTTAATGAAAGACATTGGTCCTTGAGTACTGCACTGATACTAATTATGAATTATTTAATTCATCCTAGCATGTGATTCATCAAAGACTAGTTAGTTCTTAGGTTTTCGCTCAGAACTGAAGTCTGGGGTTTTTGTTTGTTTTGTTTTGTTTGCCAGAGCCATCAATATGCCGTCTACTTTCCCATATTACAGATGACATTTCTTGTAAAATAGAAAATACAGAACCAGTCTCGTAAGACTATTAGGCTGAAATAACAAAACTTACCACTTTTGGAGCATGTGGGAAGTCTTAGTAAATGTGAGGTCCCTCAAACAAGTGAGCTCTTATCATTCTGGGTTTCTGACCAGCCCAGGGGGGCCACTATGGCAGTTCCTCTCAGCAGCGGAGGCAGCTTCATGAATGCTAAGGAGAGAAGGGGACAAACATTTATGGACAGTAGTAGCTATTATTTTTCAGGAACTCTGGACATAATCACATGTAGTCTTTAATCCTGCATGGAGAGGTATGCTGGTTTTTGCTAGATGACACAGCACCAACAGCCTGCCGGATCTCTGGCTGTGACAAAGAGGCTGCTTTCTCGCGCATGTGCACACTGCGTGCTACTCCAGGCCCATGTTCCCCTCAGTTTGGGATGCCAAAGAGCAGCCCTTATTTGGGTGGCTGCCATTCGGGGCAGAGGAAAAGACAGTGATGGCAGAATTATGTGACGGCTCTGAAAGCTCCCACTTAGAAGTAGCGCATGCAGGGCACCTGGGTGGCTCAGTTAATCGTCTGCCTTGGGCTCAGGTCATGATCCCTGGGTCCTGGGATCAAGTTGTGTTGGGCTCCCTGCTTGGCGGGGAGGCTGCTTCTCCCTCTGCCTCAGCCCTGCCCCCTCCCACTTGTGCCCTCTCGCTCTGTCAAATAAATAAACAAAAACTTAAAAAATAAAGAAGTAGCCCGTGCCACTTCCTCTCACGCCCACTGGATCAGAGGGGTCACTTGGCCAGAACCACCATCAGCATGTGGATCTTTAATCCTCCTGCAGGGGCTGAGCAGGAAGGGGCCTGAGGAAGGAGGGAAAGCAAGTATTTTGACAATAACATGGATCTACCTTAGTATTACTTTATTTTACACTTGAGAAAATTAGGAATATGGATGCTTATTCACTTGTTCCAGTTGCACAGGGAGAGGCTCTGGGATACAGAGCTAGGTGTCCTGTCCGATCCATGCTGTTTGACCATATTGCCTCTTGGTTTTAAAAAGAAGAGACAAAAAAATGTATATAACATTTGACTAGTGCTTTATAGTTTACAAGTTACTTTCACACCCATTCCTGCATTTACACCTGACAAGTCTGTCAGCAAGGCACATTCACTATTATTATTATTTACCCCTTTGCGGATGAGTCCACCTGTACTCAGTACACAAATCACTTCTTTCTCCTACAACCTACGTCACTGGAGAAACTTACCCCCCACCCCATTCCTCCATTATGACCAAGCAGTGCAGCAAATAGGTTTTCACAGACCTGTTGATTTCCATTTCAATGAAATTTTTTGCCTTATTCATTTTATGGGGGGGGGGTGTTTCTACATAGGAACATTTAAATTATCCAGTAATGTCCTCCGGTCATTTAGCATTTGGTTAGCTTTCACTTCGCCTCATATGTCCTTCCAGAATTACAAGCAATGCTGCTCTATAAGAATTATATTTATTTTATATATTTTCCTAATTAAACAAGTTTTACATTATTCATTCTAGTCATCAACTCAAGTATAGAAGTAGATTTAAATATTAAAATCCATATCAACATTTCCCATAATTATTTTTCAAATCAGGATCAGCATGTGCCCATTCCATTTGGTTGAAAAGTCTCTGAATCTCTGGGCTCCCCTTCCATCTCTCTTTCTCTCTCTCTCTGTGTTTTTGCATTTTTGTTTTGTTTTGTTTGTCCTGTAGTACCTTGATTCTTAAATGTAATTGTGAATATGAATCACTTGGAGATTTTATTACAGATTCTGATGCAGAAGACTGGGGTGGGGCCTGGCATCGCCCTGATTAACAAGTGCCCCAGGGGTGCTGATGTGGCTGGCCCCTGAACCACGTTCAGAATAGTGAGGAGTAGGAGTCCCTCCCTACAGTCTGGAATTTTGCTGAGTGCAGCCCCATGGTGGTTGCTTGTATTTCCCATTTACTGGTAGGTAGATCTCCAGGCTTGCGTAGATTCTGGTGAAGGCACGAAAAGAGATTGCTGCTGATCCCATTTCTTACGTTGTGCTCTATTTTTTACGTGTATCACATGATGCTAAGTCCAGAGCAAGATCTCTACTCTTTGCTGTGCAGACTCTGTATTCCATGTCAAATTATCATCTGAAGACAAGAAAGTAAACTAATGAGATAGTCTGAGAAAAATTGCTTCCTTCCTATTTATTCAGTAGCCCATAATCCACTTAGCTCCTTTTCACTTTCCTGTGGCTTCATTTACTTGTTTCGTGTTTGGAAGCGTGATTGTGAGGTAGAAGGACCAGAAAGGACTGGCCGTGCTAGGCATGTGGGAAGGATTGCATGCCCTTCTGTGGCTATAAGCTGTCCTCTCTGCTCCTGCCCCGAGGTGCTCATCAGACTGCCTTGCCATATCCTCCGCCTTATGAGGTTTAGCTCCCACGTGTGCTGTAGAAAACACACACGCATACAGATTGATCGGACTTGGCAGGTGCATCACTGACAAGCAGTGCTGGGCACAGGCGTCGTCATGGCAACGGGAGGCCATATTCTGTTTCCTTAAAAGTTGTAGAACTTTATTTTAGTTAATTGGGGTTAAATAACCTATTGATGTGGTTGTTTGTTTGTTTTTTTAAATCCTGAGGTTTTATAGGCAATGCATTCTGTTGGAACTCGTCTTTGAAAGCTTTTGTTAGTTTAAAC